TGAAAGCCCGCCCATGTCCCGTAACGGAATTCAGAAGCAGGGCAATAACACGTCGTCCTTGTCATTCCTCCTTACTGTCCAGCCCACGTTTGCTAATCTTCTACAAAATATTGAAGGGAAGTTCCATGTAAATAGGGCATGAAACAAAATGCATGACGTCAAGTTGCTTTATGCCCCACGTGGCCTGGGGTTCCCCCGCTGAACGAAGCATGCTGGCAGGACACTGGCATGGCCCCACCCTTGGCTGCCAAGACCGGAGACAATTCTCATAGCTTTTACTGCTGCACCAAAGGTTTGAGTCAGTAAGATGAGAATACTCAAAAATAAACTTTGAGAGAAGATATACAACTCTCTATTTTAATAAAGTGGCATGAGTATGAATACAGAAAATTCTAAGGGAGCTACGAAATAACTACTGGAGCTAATACGATTTTAGCAAGGTCAAAAGATACAAGATTAGTATTTTAAAAATACTTTTATGCCCTAGCAGAAAAATGGAAAATGTAGCTTCTGAGAATTCCATTTATAATTGCTTCAAATACTATAAAACAGTTAGCAATAAGCTTATCAAAAAGAAACCATGTGAGACCTCTATCTATACAACATTGATGACACAAACTATGAGGGGCGATCCAAAAAACCTGGCATTTATTTATTAGAAATTGGGTATTTGGTCCTGGCTGGTATGGCTCAGTGGCCTGAGTGCTGGCCTCCGAACCAAAGGGTCGCCAGTTCAATTCCCAGTCACGGCACATGCCTGGGGTACAGGCCAGGTTCCCAGCTGGAGGCACTCAAGAGGCAACCACACACTGATGTTTCTCTCCCCCTCTCTTCCTCTCTCTCTAAAAATAAATAAATAAAATCTTTTTTAAAAAATTGTGTATTTATTTCTTACATGTTTAAACTTCAAGCACCTTCAAAGTTCTCTCCATTTGATGCAATACACTTATCGAGACACTTTTTCCACTGCTCAAAACAGTTTTTGAAATTGGCAATTTTGATGCTTTCTAGTGCTTCTGCCATCTTTTGTTTCACCTCTTCCACGTTGGCAAAATGTTTTCCTTTGAGGACTTTTTTCATCTGGGGAAACAAAAATAAAGTCACTCAGGCCCTGGATGATGTGACTCAGTGGACTAAGTGTCGGTCTATGAACCGAGATGTCACTGGTTTGATTTCTGGTTGGGGCACAAGTCTGGACTGTGGGCAAGGTCCCCAGTGGGGGCGTTTAAGAGGCAACCACACATTGATGTTTCTCTCCCTCTCTCCCTCCCTTCCCCTCTTTCTAAAAATAAATAAATAAAGTCTTTATAACAATCAGTGCGGAATAGCTCAATGTGCACGTGGTGGGGACTGCGGGGGGGAACTCGTACCACAGACAAACATTAATTCAAGATGGATCAGAAACCTAAATATAAAAGCCAAAATAATAAAGGTTTTTAGAAGAACAGGATGTCACAGCCTGAGAGAAAATTATTTGTGAAATACACACCTAACCAAGGACTGATGTGCAGGATGTAAGAATCCATAGAGCTCAGTAATAAAAAGGCAAAGACCCTCCGGAAACACTCAAGTGAAGAGGACGCACAAACACGCAGTTGAGACATGAAGATGCTGGTTTGTGGCAATGAACACTGATCCCACACTGAGCCACCGTGTGGTGCTCCGCAGAAGGCCACCACCACGTGTCGGCAAAGCTATGCCACAGCCAGCGCTCCCAGCGTCGTTGGTGGGAGTGTAAATGGACAGCCACTTTAGAGAAACATCTGGTAGTTGCTTGTAAAACTAAACATACAACTACCCTATGACCCAGCGTTCCATTCTCAAGTATTTACCCAAGAGAAATGAAAACATAAGTCCACAAAAAGACTTGTAAAGAATGTTCATAGCAGCCTTAGTCATAGCAGCTAAAAGGGAAAAAAGACCAGGTGTCCATCAATAGAAAAGTGGGCACCAACTACTATGTCCATATAAAGAAACGCTTCCCAGCAACAGAACATCATGGACCGCAGCCACATGTAACATGGATGAATTTTAAACACGCAGAAATTCCATTTATGTGCCCCCCAGAGCAGTGAACCTGAAGTGTGGCCCAGAAAGAGCAGGCGGTGCCGACCCTCGGGCAGTCTGGGATTTCTGGGGGCGAGGAGGTTCTGTAGTGACAGGGTTATGGCTGCACACGTGTGTGCAACTGTCATAAACCCTTCTATGACATACTTGCATTTTATTGTATTAAATTTTACCTAAAAATAAAAATTAAAAAGGACCATAAACAGCCTTTCTGCTGGTGGCCACCTCTGAGTCAGCATTGGTGAGGTCTCCTCTCCTGCGGTCGTCATGGCTAAGTCAGAGTCCCCCAAAGAGCCGGAGCAGCTACGGGAGCTCTTTATCGGAGGTTTGAGCTTCGAAACGGCAGATGAGAGCCTGAGGAGCCATTCTGAGCAATGGGGACGCTCCCAGACTGTGTGGGGATGAGAGGTCCAAACACCAAGCGCTCCAGAGGCTTTGGGTTTGTCACACATGCCGCTGTGGAGGAGGTGGATGCAGCCAGGAATGCAAGGCCACACGCGGTGGATGGCAGAGTTGTGGAACCGAAGAGGGCTGTCTCGAGAGAAGATTCTCAAAGCCCGGGTGCCCACTTAACCGTGAAAAAGATTTTTGTTGGTGGAATTAAAGAAGACACTAAAGAACATCACCTAAGAGATTATTTTTGAACAGTATGGGAAAACTGAAGTGACTGAAATCATGACTGACCGAGGCAGTGGCAAAAAGAGAGGCTTCGCTTTTGTAACCTGATGACCATGACTCTGTAGACAAGATTGTCATTCAGAAATACCACACTGTAAATGGCCACAACTGTGAAGTAAGGAAAGCCCTATCTAAGCAAGAGATGGCTAGTGCTTCATCCAGCCAAAGAGGTTGAAGTGGTTCTGGAAACTCCAGAGGTGTCGCGGAGACGGTTTTGGTGGGAATGACAACTTTGGCCGTGGAGGAAACCGCAGCAGTCGAGGCGGCTTTGGGGGCAGCCGCGGTGGTGGTGGGGATGGTGGCAGTGGGAACGGCTGTGCGGGATTTGGGAATGATGGACGCAGTTCTGGAGGTCGTGGAAGCTACAGTGATCTTGGCAATTAGAACAATCAATCTTCAAATTTTGGACCCATGAAAGGAGGAAACTTTGGAGGCAGAAGCTCTGGCCCCTACGGTGGGGGAGGCCAATACTTTGCCAAACCACAAAATCAAGGTGGCTATGGCGGTTCCAGCAGCAGCAGTAGCTACGGCAGTGGCAGGTTTTAGTTGCTGCCAGGAAACAAAGCTTAGCAGGAGAAGAGAGCCAGAGAAGTGACAGGGAAGCTACAGGTTACGACAGATTTGTGAACTCAGCCAAGCACGGTGGTGGCAGGGCCTAGCTGCCACAAAGAAGACACGTTTTAGACAATACTCATGTGAATGGGCAAAAAACTCGAGGACTGTGTTTGTGACTAAACTGTATAACAGGTTATTTTAGTTTCTGTTCTGTGGAAAGTATAAAGCATTCCAACAAAGCGTTTTTAACGTAGTTTTTCTTTTTTTTTTCTTTTTTTTTTTTTGCACCCATGCCATTGATTGCTAAATGTAATAGTCTGATCATGACGCTGAACAACTATCTTTAAAAAAAAAAAAAAAAAAAAAAAGGACCATAAACAAATACTGAACTCTAGCAACAGCATTTGGGAGAAAGTGCACTGGCGCCTGCCCTTCCTTGGGGAAGTGCAGACAGATAAACCACGGATGGGTTGGCAGCCGGGTAGGCAGACACGCAGACAGATGAACAGCATGCGGCAAAGAAACCTGAAAAATTACAGGACGCGCACATGTGTACAGTCCACAATACCTGACCATGATAATAAACCACCATGTTAAGGGTTTGTGTATTTACTACATTGTTTTAGAGTGTACACTTTCTACATAAAACAAAAGTGTGCCGCAGAACGGCAGCCACGTCACACTGCAGCAGCCTCACACAGTCGTGTTCGCCTGGCCTCCTGACTGTGTCACTTCTCCTGTGCTTGACTGAACCCAGCGCTGTACCGTGACCTGCTGCTCAGGCTGCAGCCCAGGAGCAAGAGGCTGTGCCACGTGCCTCGGTGTGCAGTGGGCGCGACCATCCTGGTGAGTGTGACTGCCTCTGGGCATCCGCCCTAACAACACCCTTCTTGGAACGTGGCTTGTGACTGTATTGTCAAGCAAGGTTGGTTGAATCTGTGCACAGAAGGCCAACTGTATTCTGAGAAGTTTGTAAGTTAGCAGAATCACACTAAAAACACAACAATAGAAAAAAATTACAAAACAATCATCACGAGAAAATCTTTAGAAAAAATATTAGCAAATATTCAGCACCATGAAAAATAACTATATTTTCCAAAACAAAATTAGTAGGGAGAGTGGCATTCGACCTGCCACAAGACGTTTCGCTGGCCGTGCGTGAAGGAATTCCACCGTTACAGACAGGTGTCTGGAGGGAAATGCCCCACTGATCCTCAGAAGACACAGGATCCAGGGGTCCTTGGACCACACAGAGAACCGCTGCTGCCCAGACGCCCTGTGCAGGTGTGTGCCCGGAGGTCTGAAAGGACACATGCTCAAGGGACATGATTTCACCTGTCCCTTTGGGGAGTTCTGTCCCTCAAAGGATTCATGACCAACATGTGACACTTTTGATGAATTACAAATTCATCACAGGACCAAAAACATTGTTTCTACACACAAGAAGCTGAGTGCAGTGCCTTCTTGAGACCATTTTCTTAGGGAGAAGTCAAGGCTCTGCAGAAACTCACATAGGGCCACCTCCTTGTCACATCACAGGCCATCTCCGGCATGCTGCGAGGTCCCAGCCCACCGCCTTGAGCGTGGCCCACCCCGGTCTGCAACAAGGGGCCATGAGTTGGACAGAGGATGGGGAAACCTGCGCCGCCCTGGCTATGAGTGAGCCACATCGCCACCCCGGACACAAGAGGTGCACTTACTCTGTAGCCACCGCTCACGCCTCAGCCTCAGTTTCTCCTTCTTGGGCAAAATCGTCTTCGCCTCGGCACCTGAGGACAGAGCACACGTGCAATGAGAGGAGCATCCCCGTTCCCGCAAAACAAAGCCTGAAGCTCCCTGCCCACAAAGCCTGGGAACAGAACGGGACAGGTTCTGACGGTGCCGGGCAGCACTACTGCCATATGGGCCACTGAGCCACAGCGGTCGGGCTGCCCCAGGACAAGGCCAGCCCCAGCCTCTCACAGCCCCAGGGGCACATGGAGCAGCGGCTCCTGCGGTGCTGCAGACCCCACGCTGCACAGCAGCACAAAGGCAGGAGGGGCCCTATGCACTGGCGTCCCTCTGAAGCAAGCGCCGGGCACTTCCCACAGGGCTGCCCCAGGAGGTCCAGGCAGGCCTTCACCCCCCTCCCTCCTCACCCCTACCCGGGGATGACCTTCAGGAGCGCTGCGGCACATGCACGCTGCCAAGGGAGAGTCACGCAACTCGAAGAGGACCCGTGAGCCATCAAGAACTGGCCGGGCATCTCGCGGCACCCAGGGCCCTCTTCTGCTGAGCCCAGGACCTGGGCTCACCGTCCCCAACTTCCTGGGATGTCTCTGCACATGTGCCACTGGAAGCTGAGAGGACCCAGATGAGTGCGGTCTAAGCAAGAGGCAGCCCCCCGTTGTGTCACTGAGTCAACCAGGATAACAAGAAACCCCCTTCCTGCAGACGGGCCCTCTCCCAGAGCCCTCTGTCCACCCTCGCCTGCCCACAGGGGTATGTGCCCGGCCTCGGCTGCCAGTACCAGGCTGTGGAGTACAACACACACCTTCTGCTTTGTTACCCAGAACAGCTCCGTCATCAAAACCGCGGCCGCCCAGCTGACCTCACCGCCCACGCCATTCCCCTCAGCTCCTGTGCCACCGCCCAGGTACCGTCTGCCCTTACTCTGTGGTGACTTCAACCGCCCAGGTCTGCAGCCTCCCCTCTGCCACCGCCCTGACCTCGCCACCCGTGGCCTGTCTGCACACCTCTACTGTCACAGGCTGAACTCCGTCCCCCAAATTCACATGCTGAAGCCCTAATCCCAGTATCTCTGAGTGTGGCAGTGTTGGGGCAGAGGGTCTTAATGAGGTAATTAGGTTGAAAAGAAGTCATATGGGGGGGCTCTAACCCAACAACACTGGTGCCCCTCTAACAAGAGGGCAGGACAGAGACATGCAGAGAGACGACCGCGTGAAGACACAGGGAGGAGACAGCTGTCTGCACCCCAAGGAGAGGGGCCTCAGGAAGAACCAGCCCTCCGAGGCCTTGGCCTCAGAGTTCCATCCTCCAGGACTGAGAGAAATGAATGTCTGCTGTTTGAGCCACCTGGGCTGCGGCTCTGTCACGGCTGCCTGAGCTGACAGAGCCTCTCGTCCTCCCCTGAGTGGCAGGGAGCACGGTGCTTCCCGCATTCAGTCAGGCCTGAGACTCCCCCACCCTCCTCTTCCTCATCTGCCCACTGCCCGTGGGGAAGTGCAGCAGCACACGCTCCCAGGTGCCAAGGCCCCATCACACTCGCTAGCCTGTGACACTTGCTAACTACCTGAAGAAACCTGATGACATTTAGAAGTACTAGGCACACTGGGTCAGTGACCCCATGACTAGTCCCATTTTACAGATGAGAAAAGCAAGACTCAGAGGTTGGCTGGGTCACGGGGAACTGCCATGGACCAGCCCTGGAATGGAGAAGGACATGTGGGCCCACAGCTACCAGGCCTCGGCAGCAGTGTCCCCAGGCTGGGCCCCGCTGAAGCTTCGCCAGCACCCCTGGGACCAGGCCACCGGAGGGGTACTGTGAACTTGGGATTTGGGGGCCTATCCCCCCAGATAAACTATGAACCGAGGCATGGATGCAGGCACAGCCCCTCAGAGCACCCAGACAACGCACACAGCCCCAGCCGCAAACCACAGAGCGCCTCGGGGCTGCCTCACCGGCCCCACAGCGTCCATCCCTCTGCAGCAGGCAGCAGTGGGAAGCGAGACACAGGACCCCTTGCCTCCAAACAGGCACACTCGGGGCGGGAGGACCACCAAGGTATAGCGTGGTGCCCACCGCACTGGGTATGAGCCACTGCGCCATGTTAGCCACAACTGACTCCCAGCTGGACAAAGATCGTCACAGTGTGTCTGAAGCCATCATGGGGCCCCAGGAAGACTTGGGCAGTGCCAGCGCATGTGCTGGATGACCGTGGACTCTGCTTGGACGGGCTGGAGCACTCATACAGGGCCCAGCCCAAGGGCAGGAGGGGGAACGCGCTGGGGAAGCTGATGCTACCAGGCTGGCAGGCATGCCATTCCAGGAGCACAAGACAACACAGTCCGATGACTGCCTGCCCGATGTCAGGGCTATGGCCTGCGGGCGCACGCGGGAAGGCTTGGGTCGGAGGTGCTGGACCCGCTGAGAGCGTCTCTGCTTCCAGTTTGCTCTAGAAACGGAGCGATCTCCAGGCTGGCCACACTTCTTGACCTTAACTGGTTCCCCAGAGATAAGGTGCTTGCAGCCCAGGATGTTCTATATAAGATGCACGCCCTGACTCATCTTCCCCTCACACGTATTTTCCTGGCTGTTACAACAGATCCATGTCATCTAAGTTTGAAAAACAACACAGAAACAAGTCCTGTCAAGAGTCAGGTGGTGATTCTGCTCGTGTCAGAAACTCGTACAAACCCTGGAGCACATGACTTCATCGAATTACAGCCCTTTGCCAAGAGTGAGGCCCGATGTGCTGGGGCCCATGTTATACTTCCGGACACACCCAAAGTCAACGCTACAGCCCCACCAGCCACAGAGGAGGGGGACAGGGTGTCCAGCAGCATTTCTGATGAATGACAAAGTGAGAGGGACTGCACACGCTGGAGCAGACCATCCCAGCCTGAGTGCTCAACCCGAACCCGGGCAGGCACCAGGAAAGCGAAGGCCAGGGCGGGCCTGGCCAACCTGGAGTATCCACGTGACCCAGCAAGCAGTTTGTTTCTGTCTTAAAGATGAGCAAAATTGGCCAGGACCTAAGATAAAAACAACAGTTAAAACAATCAACGACAAGTGCTGGCAAGGATGTGGAGAAAAGAAAACCCCCGCGTACTCTTGGTGGGAATGCAGGCTGGTGCAGCCACCGTGGAAAGCAGTATGGAGATACCTCAAAAAATTAAAAATGGATCTGCCTTTTGACCTGGCGATCCCACTTCTGGGAATATATCCAAAGAAACCCAAAACACTAATTTGAAAGAACATAAGCACCGCTGTGTTCATTGCAGCATTATTCACAATCACCAAGATATGGAAGCGGCCCAACTGTCCACTAGTAGATGAGTGGATAAAACAACTATGGGAGATTTACACTTGGCCATTAAAAAAGAATAAAGTTTTACCCTTCGCAACAGCATGGATGGACCTGGAGAACATGCTAAGTGAAATAAGCCAGTTAAGAGAAAAAACAAATACCATACAATTTTACTCCAAATGGAATCTAATAAACAAACTGAACTAACAAGCAAAATAGAGACAGACTCATAGATAGCAATCAGGATGACAGCTAAAGGGGGAAAGGGTAGGGAGTGGAGAGGTTGAGCAAAAAGGAAAAAGGACTCATGGACACAGACAACAGTGTGGTGACTGCATATGGGAGGGTGGTATTAGGGAACTAAATAGTAATGGAAAAACAAACACAATAAAAAAAATTACTTGGAGAAAAAAAACCAATCAGCCGCGCAGAGCACAGGTAGGAAGGGTGGGGCCAGCCACCCTGGGCGTCCCGCTCAGCACACCAGGCTTCTCCCCAGCGCCCGAGCCCTGCTCTGTGCCCGCCCTCAGGTGCCTGCACAGCCCTCGGGTATGGACCAAAATGACACCTAGCACCCCGGAGATAAGGCCCGGTGCAAACTCAGGCACAGACTGCTTTCACAAGAGAAGCTGAGGGTAAAACACTCTGTATGGCAGACCAATGAGCTTTGGAGCCCTGCTTGTAGAGACACACCCTGGGCAGCTACCTGACCCGTCTGGGCTGCAGTCTGCTCATCCGGGAAACGGGGCTGCCGCTGCAGCAGTGCTGGTGAGCAGGAGCCCCTGCTCTGTCCTCATAAAGGAGCCTCGTGGAGCAGAAGGTGAAGTTCCAGCAAGGAGATGCCTGTCTGCCTGCCCCAGTGCCACCCCTGTGCCCGGCAGCCCGTCCTGCTCTCCCAGTCCTCAGTCACTACGGCTGCCACCAGTGTGGGGCAGTCAGAGGACAGGAACTGTTTCGCAGGTGTTGGGTTTCAGGAGGACCTGGCTAATGGGTAGCACATGAGTACGTTCTAATGGCACTGTAAGGAGAATCAGTACCTGATCAGCCTTTCTGTAGATGACGTCAACGACACTGTTTTAAACAAGGGACACAGGCAATGAGAGACGACGGCAGGTTATGGCTGATGTGACCTAAGTCATAAAATACAAAGGCATCCGCAATACTGACTGTCTCCTCGCCCCAATGATAAATGTAACCTAAGGCACAGATTTGGGGGAAAAATAAAACGGAAATCACTCACCTCCCTCTGTAAGGTCTCAACAGATTAAAATGTAAATAAGAAATAAAGCCATGAAAGTGCTACAAAAAATACGAGTTACAAGACACACACAAAAAAAAAACATAGATTTGACTACATTCAAGGGTAAAACATCTACAGGGGAAAAAAATTACATGAATAAATTCAAAAGGCACTACAGGTAGGGGGGCAAACATAAGCAGGGAGGCAGGTAACAAAACAGGTCCTTCCTACATAAAGAGCTCTTCCAAACCAGTAAGAAAAAGCCAAGAAGGAAACTGAGGAAAAGGACACAAATGCATCACTCAGAGAGAAACATGGCCAATGAAATCTCATTCTAAGAGCACATTTTACAAACCAGACCCCACTGCCCACTCTCACATGGCAGAGACCTGCATCTGCACCCAGCTGGCCCGAGCCAGGGGCACACTTGGCACGCTGGGCGGGAGCTCCATGGGTGGCGTCTTCACAAGGCAGCCTGGCACCATCTACTGGCACATTC